AAATATTGATAATGTAAAATGCCCACTTGGCGACAATCTATTTTGTCCAAGTTCGTGCTCAATTTATTTACGGACTAGCGCATGTTCTATTTTTCCGTCAATTTTTGTGTCAATTCAGGCTTTCAACCTAGAAATGACACTTTAAAAACATTAAAGCGAAGTGAGGATAATTATTTTTATTTATCATTTGCATGTTGATGTTCAGTTTTTTCTTTATATCTTCAGTTTCTTCTAATTTTATTATTAAACATCCTTAAATATATTTCTGAGTGAACCAGAACTTAACCTTGAATTTCTGGTTAAGTTGGTAGAATTGTTTATTGTCATTTCTGTTGTCTACAAGTTGATCCGATGTAAAGCGAAATTAAGCCATTGTTAAGCCAACATAAATTGGCAAATAAATTGCCAAACAAATTTATCAATTTAAATTGTCAGTGTAAAACTAGCATTAATTAAATCTGTCCTGGTTTGTTATATCAATGATGAGGCTTGCTCAATGCAATTTTAAAATTAAATATCGCAAAAACAACTGAACCAAATATCAATATATATGGTATATTTGGAATCAGAATAAAAAAGCTATCATTCTAGCCGAAAATATACAGGGTGTTCCATTTGAAAAATTCAAGTGTTTGTCATTGTGATAGTTGGCACCTGTCATTTGCCTGTTTTGACACTCGCAAAAGATAATAGACATAAAACCCTACAACTTTCATATTCAAAGTTTTTTTCCATCTCGTATAGCCAAAGCTGTAGGTAGGGGTCAAAATATAAGGAAACACCCTGTACATTTTTTTGGGAATCAAAGTCAGTCAAAGTCAAAAATAGCTTTATTGATATAAGAATTATAACATCTCTTTATCAAAGCAAACTTAAAAATAAAAGTTGTAGCAAATACAGGCTTAAAATTAAAAAAAAAAAAAAATCATCAAATAAAATGAAACAAGACTGTGCTGCTAAAATACTCTTATAAAATAAACTACATAGATTAAAATAACACATTAAAAGACATTAAAGGTAACATACTTAAATACTAGACATGTATAAAGTAATAAGTCAGTGAGTAAAATATAAGACAAACTAAACTGTAAACGAAAAGACACTAAGCAAAAGTATCACTGAAAAATTCAGCAACCGAATAGTAAGCCCTCCCAACCAGTATCCTCTTTACCTTCCCCCTAAATTGCTCTTTGTTGCATATCTCACGGACATTAGAAGGCAGGTGGTTAAAAAGCTTTTTACTATTATAGATAACAGATTTTTTTACTAGCGTTGTTAAGGGGATAGGTAGAGGAGCAATGTGCGATGACCGAGTTGCATAAGCCCCAGCAGTCAGGATCTCATTGTGGAACTTGTCATGCGTAAGGCAGACTGATTCCAATATAAATATACATGCCAGTGTTAATATTCCGAGCGACAAAAAATAAGGTCTGCAGGATTCTCGGATATTTAATTTACATAAGAACCTAATAGCTCGCTTCTGCAGAATAAAAACTGAGTTAAACAGGTGATCAGAACACGATCCCCAAAAACAGACTCCATACCGTAAATGAGAGTCAATCAGCGCAAAATATACATTTCTTGCCATAGACATGTCTACCTCTCGAGAAACTGTCCTCAATGCAAAGCACCCACCCGAAAGTTTTTTATTCAACTGAAAAACGTGGCTTTCAAATTTCAATTTATCGTCAATATGTAGGCCCAAAAATTTATTGATATGTGAACTTTGCACAACCTCGGTATTTAGAAAAACATCTCCTATGTGACACTTGAAAGAAACAATGTTTGTTTTCGAAATGTTGAGGGTTAAAAAATTTGAATTGAACCATTCTTTGATTCTTAAAATATCAATATTCATCTTAAGCTCCAAGTTCTTTGTATTCCTATCACGCCATAAAATCGTCGTATCATCAGCAAACATCGTGAATTCACCCGATATATTTATCCTTGAGAGATCGTTAATGTACAACAAAAATAACAAAGGGCCCAGTACCGAGCCCTGAGGAACACCGGATGTGATAGCTTGAAACTCGGATTCCTGACCATTAAAGCGTACCGATTGATGGCGATCAGACAAGTAAGACGATATCCAGTCCAGTGACGTGCCTCTAAAACCATACATTTCAAGCTTGCGGAGCAATACTCTGTGATTCACGCAATCAAACGCTTTGGTGAGGTCACAGAATATCGCTGCCGCAACCTCTCCATCATTCAATCCCACATACACACTTCTCAATAAAGAGAACATAGCATCATTTGTGCTCTTTGAATCCTGAAAACCAAACTGATCCACACTCAAAAAACCATGTACATTTATGTAGCTGACCATACGACTCTTCACAAGTTTTTCAACAATCTTTGACAAGGTTGGAAGTAATGAAATTGGCCTAAAGTTTGAAGCTGACTCGCTGTCTCCTCCTTTATACAATGGAATAACTTTGGCCAACTTCAAAGAAGAAGGAAAAGTTCCCGTAACAAAGGAATTGTTAATTGCTTCCGCAAGGGTTTGCAGCGCGTGATCTGGAAGTCTTATAAATATTTTCAATGAAATGTCATCCCAACCAGAAGAGTTCGAATTTTTTATCTTGGTAAATACAGTTCGAAGTTCTTGAATATCGGTCGGATAAAAATAAAATGAATTGGGAATGAACAAATCCCCAAGAAAACTAAGAGCATCAACTGCCGGACTGATACTGGAAGATAGATTATCTGCTACTGAGCAATAAAATCACATAGTAATCAATCAAGAATACATGGAAACCACTTGGGAGTCCCTGGGAGTAACCTGGGAATCTCCTAGGACTCCTTGGGAATCACATTGGAATCCATTGGCAATCGCTGGGAATCATGTGGTAATCGCTGGGAATATCATCTCATTCTAACCCAGAAATCGCATATCATACGTCATTTTAAACAATACAGCGTACCAGTCAATTGTGTATTTGCCTTTGGGACTAAATTTTAGGCAACATTGAGTGCTAGACAATTTGAAATGAATTTGATATCCCAACGAGTTTCCCAATAACTGAACTCGAGAATACGCAGAGTTTAGAACTTAAAGAACAAGAAGAACGAAATGAAGATTAGGTCTGTTCTCACAGAAATCACAAACCAGTCAGAGCGTTTTTGATTGGTGTAAATCGCTAACAACCAGTTTTTGACTATTTTCCAACCAATGAAATTTGCTCTGGCTGGTTTGTGATTTCTGTGAGAACAGACCTAGTGCTGGTACCTTCGCTCTCATTTGACAGCCGTTAAAAATAATCAGTGCTTTGAATGTGCTCTAACCACATTATAGTTATAGACCTTGGCCCATGCAAAACTTTGACGACGTATCAATTGTTAATTGAGAGGAAAAGTATCGGCCCCTAGAGTATGACAATGTGGTAGATCATAAAAATAAAAACATGAATTTTGAAACCTCTTTCGAATCTGGTCGTTTGTGGATCGAGTATTAAGAGCTATGGGAATGTCCCTGAGGAAGATACAAAAAAAAAGTTGAGAATCCAATGCAATAAGAACTTGAAAAGGGAAAGTAGAATAAATACTATGCAGGGCAAGAAGCAGAGACGATGAGTCTGTTTCTGCACAAATTACAAACCAGTCAGAGCGAATTTTATTGGTTGAAAACAGTCAGAAACAGTCAGAAAATTAGTTTCAACCAATGAAATTCACTCTGACTGGTTTGTGATTTCTGCAGAAATAGACCTAATAGCACATCTGAATCAGAATCGAAAATAAGTTTGTCGAGTGAAACCCTAACTGAAGATGTCTCTGATTCAGATGAAGATCCTAGGGAAATTAAAGAAATATCCATTATTTTAGATCCATATTATGCAGTGTAGCACGCAATGGTATCTAGGGCTGCTCAACAACTATTTATACCAATGATTTATACCTACAACAAATTCTGTGTGAGTGTGGCAACCATGAAAATAAAAGTTGCTAAAGGCCGTTTTACAGCTTGCAAGAAAACTTGAATGCCATTTATTGCATGCAAAAAAATTGCATTCAAGATTTCTTGCATGTCGTTTTATACCTTGCAATTTGAAATTTGACTTGTTTCTTTCTCTAACCTTATCCATACTTTTTTGTTTTTAACGTTGTGTTGTTGATGTTTGCATTTTCCAAAAATAAAAAAAGTGATTATAAGTCGATATAAAAAGAAGAAAGCAATAGCAGCAACTTTAGGCATCATAATTGCTAAAAATTCCGCAGCTTGCACGAAAACCTTCAAGAAAAATGGCACCAAACCGATTGCATGCAATGCCATTCAAGTTTGAAGAATCTTGCAGAAACCAATCAGCTGACTCACTTCTGCGCATGCCCTCGTTCAAGTTTCTTGCATATTGCAGATAGAATTGCAAGCTGTAAAACGGGCTTAAGTTTTAGAAAAAGTTGCAAATACAGAAGTTGCCAATTTTTCAGTGGAAACGTGTTTTCATAAGAGAAAAGACTGTTTATATTGGTCATATCAATGCAAAGCTTAACAATTAGACACAAAAATATCTGAAAATAATTGGCAATTAGTCGCAATTCTTAGGATGGGTATACATGAGATTCATTGATAAGTGATTGCCAAATATGGAAATCACTGTACATTTGTAAGAATATTGGTTGACCGCTCGAACAAATCATATCTTTCTGACGTAACACACTGACCCAATTGTCAATTTAACACATGAGAATACTGGCAGTAGACCTTGATTGTCAATTTTAATAAAAATCAAATTGTGTTGTGAAAATCTGCTTCACCTTTGCCTGTCAAGTTGCAAGCTTTTGAACTTTACAATATTAGAATGATTATTGAGCAGCTCAGCATAGATAAAAGAAACAATAAAAAATATAATAAATCTAGAGAACGACCCGTTCCAAAGATTATCAGCCCTAATTTCTTTGGAAACTAACCCAAATTACAAATTGGTAAATCGGAAATAAAACTTCAAATAAATCTCTCCAAAAATTATTTATTAATTAATATTACTGATATGTATTAATTTTAAAATTCCAAAAAATGCTACCCCCTTGGCTTGTTTTTTCAATTTAGATATTTTCAATATAGCACCCTGTCAATTATAATTATTATACACTATGCCATAACTGAAATTGTTTACATAATTATGTTATTTTTATCTTAATTAGTTACCCTTTTTATTACATTACATTTTATCGATTAGTAATTTGGAGGAAAATATGTGTAAAGGTTTCAATCAACAAAACTAAATTTAGGTAACTTCTTGTTCATTCTCATTTTGAACAGCTTCAACATCTATTATAGCGCTGCAACTGCTGCTCTCGTCCCTTGCTACTTGAACATTTTCCACAACAATTTCATTATTTTTATGATTTTTATCAGCAACTTCTTCTGCATGGCACATTTTGCGGTGCTTATGCACGAAATAGTAACTGGGAAATTTGCTTCCGCAAGTCTTGCACGGATAATACTGAACGTTCATGTCTAGAAGCTTAACTTCACGTTTGGTTTCTGCTTGAGCAACTTTATCGACGCTGACGGGATATAGATGGCGCCTAGCGTGTTTTTGGTAGCAGTACTGCGATTTGAAGGTGTGATTGCAATAGACGCAAGTGAATACCTCTTCTGATTGGTTGTTTTCGTTGCTGTTTAGTTTTTCCATTATATTTTCGTTCATTACTTTGTTCATTGCATTACTTCGGTTAAAATCTGTTGCAAATTGGTCTGTAGAGGTTCCATCAAAATTTTCCATGTCTTGAAGTCCATAGTTTTTGTTGATGACTCTATGGAATCTCACTGGTCCGTCACAACAAGCAACGTCGATAATGATTTTCTCTTTGTTGTTATTAACAGTAGAATCTGGCGAAGGGCGTTTTTTGGTGGAGACTTTTGGCTTTTTTTCCGCAAGAATTTTTTCAGTTGTAGATCGTAACTTTACGTCAGCTTTACTTGTAATTGTACTTGCCGATTCATTGTTTTCTTTTACTACTTTGAATGGAGTATCTTCACTTTTCTTTAAACCATTATGACTAATGGCAGGACTAAAAAATTCTTGCATAGATGGCACCATTTTACGACTTGCAATCGGTTTGATAACGTTAATTTTCTGTTGCTGTTGAGTTTCGGTAGTGTATTGTCCTTGCTGTAGCAAAAAATTCCTGCAAAGCTCCAAAGCTCTTGGCATATGAAGGATATGCGTAGCCAAAAGGATACTGTAAATATTGGCGATGTTTAGGTCCAAATGGCCTGTATACATGAAAGTCAGAAGTGAGGAAAATTCGTCTACATTGACGTTCGGAACAGTTATTGGAGAGAGATCTAGAAGTTCAATTTGTATGTGAGTTAAAATATTGTTTAAATAAAAGAAGCTTACTTGTATGGTTGGATAAAGCAGCTTTAAAAAATCCACTGTGTAGTGACAAAACTCTTCTATGAGCTGAAAAGTGCGTCATTGTAGGTCCAACTTGCAAAGTGACGTCAGGGACTTCTGGTAATTGAGCCGGAGTTGGTAGAGTAAGGTTTAGTGGTATCGAAGGAGCCGCAAGGGGTGTAAAACTGGTAGAAGGGCTAAGCGAGAGCCATGCTCTGTATAGAGAGTACATTTTGAACTGAAATAGAGTTTTGAGGTTTTATAGTAAAACAAAACTTTGAAATCTGGGATAAAATAGGTGAGAGCTATTTTTGTGGATTAGTTAAAATTTCATAATGTACCTTCACTTTGAAGTTTGTATTTCTGGAATAAATCTCCTTATCACCACATTAGTAATAATATCACCACTATAATAATGTAAAAATCGTATCCGCGCGTGTTAAAATTTACCAGTTCTCTCTCGCCAAAGCGACCAACCACCACACATTACGGCACGCGACCGAATAAAGGCGTCTTTATAAAGTGCCGCCACTTTATCACAACCCCTCTAAATTGGAGACTCGCCGCACGATCAACCGCCGACACGCTGCCGCCCCCAATTCGTCAGTCGGGTGGGGGTTATGTCCGCGAATCGTCTCTCGAATGAAAGGTGTCCTGCGGGATCTTTGCTTATTGTCTTGCCATTGGATGCCAGAGGGGGGTGAAATGAAGAATTAGAGGCTTTTGGTGTAAGAATTTCAAGAACTAAGGGAAGTTTGATTTGATTTCAATAGTGTCAGGAGGTTTTTTTTTTGAAATAATATGTAATGTTTTTTTTTTTTAATCTGGTTGCCTAAATATGTTTTTCAAAAATAACTGCTTCTTATGTAAAAAATGATACGCTGATTCCAAAAAAGTGACTTGTGTAACGCAACGTAATTCTGTCTCAAAAAACCGAAAAAGTTGCCTCAGTTAAGCTCCTCAAATTTCTAATTCCCAACTTAATTGTGAAGAAAGTTCTATAGGCTGTGACTTATCACTTGTGGCACCCAAGTGAGGAATCGGTGAACCCATTGCCATGAAAGATGTGTCGAGTTTTCATTTATAACTTGGCTTTTGTTTGATCAAAGAAGAAGAAATTTAATTTGAAAATAATAAGCAACATAACTAATTACCTATTTTTCTTCGTATTGCTTCAGATTTTGAGATTTTCAAAAGTAAGACTGCAGAAAATTCTATTTTTAGTTGTTTTGTCCAAATTCAAAAAATATTAGAAGAGTCCATTCAACTTTTTGAATTAAAGTTACGTTTTTAAAGTGCACTAACTAATCCTTATCATTTCCAATGACATTGGTGAGGCATTCGCAACTTTGATTGGCTGCATTGAATGCAGCTTAGTATTGTGTAACTCATAATCAATAATCCTGAAAAAATTTTAACTGCGAAACTAGATTCCTTCTAGTAAGTAGGCTTTGTTTACAATGTTGTTGGGGAACCCAACTTTTTCATGCCCAGAACTTAATTTCAGAGACCGACAGCCAGCTCTCCTGGTAAGACTCAGAACTAGATTATTCTCCAACATACACTGGGTATTTTTTCAGCTTGTTTATTAACACTGCAAGACTCGCGCGGGGTATTTTGGACCCCGCAACTATTTTGGGGGATGAATGTTTATTAGTGGAGGATTGTGCCGCGTCGCGAGGTGGGTGCTATTCCTTGCTGCTAGTCTTCTGAGTACCGCTGCGCATCAAACGAAACACCAGATTATCTGTCTATATTACAGTCTCATTCGATCCACCCTTGAATACTGCAGTCCAATTTGGACTCCAAGTATGCCACATTAGAAGGATAAAAGGAGTGCAAAATAAATTTGCCAACTACCTGCACTACAAACTGAGATTTCCTTACCAGCACATTGAGTATGAGATTCGTCTACAGCTCTGTGGCATACACAGCCTTGAGAATCGACGCAAAAATGTCCAGCCCATTTTTCTCTACAAAATTTTGCAGAACATCATCAATTCGCCCAATCATCTGACAGAAATTGGATTTCTGGTTCCTGGAAGAACCAGAGGCAGCTCTTTTTCCAACCTGTGCATAGAACTAACTATGGTCTGAATTGCATCAAGACTCATCTAGTCACTAAATCAGGACTTTTCCCATAAAAATCATTTTCAATGCCGCTCTGGATGTAATAAAAAGAGAAATCAGTACATAATTACAAAAGCTGTATTCCTCATATTTTTAATAAATTAATTTTGCATATCATTATTTAGATTAATTATCTTCAATGTGCCATTCAGAAATGTTTTCTATAGAGTGCACTTAAACATGAATAAATGAATGAAATATCATGGTTAGAACCTGCCTAGAGCCGACTTCGTGCAATGTTTAGTCCAGAACAACCCGTTAGGGATTGCTTCCGGGATTTTAACTGAAAGAAACTATTAGGATGCGCCAAAAAAGGTTATACTCGACACCCGACTATATCACCCATTTTCATGTAATAGATGATGTCAGAGTATTATTCCTAAGGCCTTATTTTGTTTTTTTTTTTATGGCATATTCATTTCAGTACATTTCATTAAAAAAAATTGATGTTGATCAAAACAAAGTAATCCAAACAAACTAGGAAAATGATCACTTACACCTGAATCAGAATATTAATCTCAAAAATTTACTCAAACCAAATCAGCCCCGAAAAATCATTATTTATTTGGAGTCTTTATGCATGATAATCTATAATCTATTTATTTAGTAGAATATACAACCCAATTAGCCAGTCAAAACAATCCCTCTATTGTTTACTCCCCAAATAGGAAAATCAGGGGTGGGTTTATAATAAAAAAAAGGGGTCTATATGAATTGTGCAAACACAGATCAAGTTTCTAAGTAAATATGTAATAAAACAAACCTAATCTCCTTGTGGTTGGAATAGCAATTATTGATTACCCAAGAGTTCAGAATAGTTTATTAAGATTTTTATTGAATTGATCAAATTTAAATTACTAAAACCAATAAAATTTAAAAACTCAATTTAATCAGACAAAAGTGAATTTTTATTCCATTGTTGGAAACACAACTCGATATATTAAAAATTCAAAAGGATTAATGTTAATTCACGATAGCATCGGCAATTTCCATATTGCCGCTTTTGTCAATTAGTTTATTAGTTTCTCTATTTTTGTCTCTGAGGTGTCGATCGGCAAACAAACAAATAAGAGGATTCTTATATATTTTACATTGAAATAATCCCGAGAAGAAATTTATTGATCAACATTTTTCAGTTATTGCTTCTATGTAGTTATTACCAGCACACCACAGAAAACCGTACAATTTACTGTCACGATTCTACGCAAAACCTAAAATGTATGCGTAGAATCCGAAATTTATATACATATAGAGTGGTTTGGAAACCGTGCAGGAGGGGGTGGTTTTTGACGGGTTGAAACACAGATATATAGGTAAAGTGTATCATCAATTCGATATTCGGATTTAAAATTTTGATATCGTCAGACAATAATAATTAATCACCGTTGTTCCTATAGGTAGCGCTGATGCAGCATCATAATATAATCTCGACGTGTCATACGACCAATTACGAAAATTATCAAATTTGCAATGCTGCGGTGCGAATTGTCGCTTTATCTGCCATCAAACGGCGTGCAATAACGCTAATTGTCGCGCCGTCGACCGGCCTCTTCAAATCCCCCGGGATGCGTTTATCCGGTTCAGCAAAATCGGTATCAATCATTTGTCACGAAATCGTAATCGAGAAGAAAGAGGAAGCTTTATCAAAACTTCCCCATTGATTTAAGTGGGATAAATACAAAGGATTACTGTGAAAATGTTAAGTTCAGTTGAAAATAATACTTTATTCTGGATTGGCTCTTTTTGGGGTTATTTAACACTGCAGTACTCGCGCATCAAAAAATCAGGTATCAACTCGCTCGGGGTATTTTGGACCCCACATGTATATTCTATTACTTATTTATAAAAGGACTAGAAAATTACCTACCACAATAAAATATTTTTGAAATAATTTCGGTCGCACGAGGTCCAAAATACCCCAGACGATATTTTGGGTAACACTACGACGTCAACCCGAGAAAAAAAAAGCTGCGGTATGATTAGCGGTACTCAGCAGACTACCGGCAAGGATTAGCACCCACCACGCGACACGGCACAACCCTCCACTAATAAACATTCATCCCCAAAATAATCGCGAGGTCCAAAATACCCCGCGCGAGTATTGCAGTGTTAATGAACAAGCTGTGAAAATATCCAGTGGATGTTGGAGAATAATTTAGTTTTCTGAGTCTTACCAGTAGAGTTGGCTGTCGATCTCGTCTGAAATTTAGTTCTGGGCATAAAAGAGTTGGATACCCCAACAACGTTGTAAACAAAGCATACCTACTAGAACGAATAGATAAAACCTAGAAATCTAGAAATTTTTATGACTTTGTCGTCGATTTGTTTTTGAAAGAAAGATTCTTTTCAATGGTGACTCCTAGGTCTCTGAAGGTGTCGACTGTTTCCAGATTGGCGTTGTTGATGGTGTACGTGGGCAGTATAGGTCTTGTGAAAAATAATGTGTTTGCACTGGTAACATTGAGTTTGAGAATATTTGAGTTGCACCAAGCGACCAACCTGTCTAAATTCGGTTGAAGAGAGGTTGAGTGCTCGTCCACAACTGCGAAAAACTTACTGTCGTCAGCATATTTATTGACGGACAAAGCTCATTTTTTTACATAAACTTAACAATTCGTTAATAAATTAATATGTTCTTAAGAGTTAAATAGGTGAAGCTAGGTAACATAATAAACAAGTCAATAAAATCGCTAAGAGGTAATACATAATTAAAGTCTATGCACGGAGAGTTTACCCCTACTAAAGCCTAGTCTCCATAGACGCGAAATCGCGGAAAGCGAATTTTTTAAGTGTCATTTTTTGGTGGCTATTTCCGAGCAAATTATTCCCATGTCTCCATAAGCGCGAAATTCGCGTTTTATTTAACAGGTTAAGGTTATGTGTTGTTGTTTGTTTGTAATCAATTTGAATTCGATTTAAATGCTTTGAATTTCAAACACTAATCTTTGAAAACCATGTAAGTGATTACTAAAAAACAAAAAAAGATATGTGTCTTGGTGTTGTCTTAATTACATTTAAGGCCCTATTATAATCTTCCTCATCGACTAGCAAGCTGTAATTTATGTCTGTTTTCGGGTCTACAATATTCAATTCTTTGGCAGTATTACCGACAAAAACATAAACAAAACTAAACTGAAAGTAACACCACATAACCTCATTTTTTTTTGGCGAAATTTCGCGGAAAGTTAAAAAATAGTTAACTTTTTTGCGACGCCGCAAGAAGTTAAATTTTTCCCGCCATAAAAAAATCAAATGTCACATTCCAACCAATCGGAAAATATCCGCAAAAAAAAATTCGCGATTTCGCGTCCATGGAGACTAGGCTTAAGTCGTAAAACACGGCATGGCTATAAATCATGCGAAATATAAAGAGAGGACGGGTTCTACCCGAAATTCTCAAAATGTTTTGTGGTCAAGAAATTTTGTGAAGAAATATAATTTTTACAGATAGGTATTTACATTTCGTATTTATTTAAAATGCAATATACAGGGTGTCCCAAAAAGATACCGACAAACTTTAAGGGGTAGTTAGGGACATCAAAACAAGCATTTTTGTTTATATAAACATATGTCCGCAAATGAGCCATTTGGGATGTAGAGCAAAAAAACTGTTTGGTACTTTTATTCTTCGCAATAATTAAATCACTGTTTACTTATTAATTTTGTTCTATTAACCAATAAATTATGGTTTACAATAATTGTTCAGAATTGAACAATCATCAATCAACAATAATTGACTCGCGAACCCTTTGGAATATTCCGGGAATAGCTTCTACATGAGTACAACTCTCCAGTATCCTTGCTAACAGATCTTCCTCATTACGAACACGTGTTTCGTAGACTAAACTTTTCAGTCAATGACCTGACGGTGCAATCTTTGCATTGAAGTAAATGGTCAACATTTTGAAAAATTATTTTAGACCATAATTTTTTTGTTACTAAAGCAAAATTAATAGGTAAACAGTGATTTAATTATCGCGAATAGTACCAAACAGTTTTTTTGCTCTACAGCCCAAATGGCTCATTTGCGGACATATGTTTATATAAACAAAAATGCTTGTTTTGAA